TACACCTGTGTGGGGCATATGAGAACACTCTGTGTCTTTTGCTTAATATTGTTGTGAACTTAAAACTGCTTTTAAAAAAAGATGCATGAAGGAAACACATAAGTCCCTCATACTTCATATCAAATGATTTTATCAAATGGTGAGAGAAAGTGATAAATGAAGGGCTGCCAAGTCAAAATATTACTGTCTTCAGATTATTGCCTATGCTGACTCTTCTATAGTAGACTGCGGGTGGTCAGGAGATGAGGGAGGTGACTGCAATTACCTCATGCTTTGAGAGAAGTTATAAAAATCATTCATTCATTTATTCATTTTACTAACCAAATTTTATTAAGCCCTGCTGTTGGCCAGAGCCTTAGGGATTTCCCATAAGCCTCCCATTTCCATAGCAGAAAACAACCTAAAGCTCGAACTACTGAAGCCTACATCCTGACCATTCTGCTGCCCTCAGAGGCCACCATTTACCATGCAGTCACTAGACCTATGCTGGCATGATCAAAACTGTGGGTATGAACCTTGAACTCAGGCTACAGTTTCCCCATATATGATATGACTGGTTTTACTCAATGATTATGCATTCCAGTTATTCATCTTGTGGGTAGATGCAAACTGCAGCAGTACCCTGAGTTTCTGAGAGTGTGTAGAATGGGCCAAGTATGTAGGCCAGAAATGCCCTACATCCTGGATCTTGAAATGAGTGGGAGAGAAGGAAGACATTTATCTAAAGAAACATTTCCCTTAGTGTCCCATGCAGGCCAATGATTGGCTTCTGTACTCTTCTCATGTCCTAACCTAAACTGTAGAGTTTGTTCTGTCCCACTAACTTCAGACCTTAGAGACATACAGGGCATATCCAAGCAACCCTAGTTACACTGGTGACACCAAGACGCTGTGCAGATGCTTCAGAGTGAATGTTAATACAGAAAGACAGACTAACTACATTGACGGTGGGATTAGCATGTGCCGAACCTTGGTGAAAGCAATTTATTTTTTTTGTCTCATTCCAGGCATCTGTGGTGAGATTTTTCCGCACCCCATCTCCCAAAACAGAGATCCTGGGTTTTCCCAAAAGTAGCATAATTTTTCTGATGTAAACAGTAGATACCACCGTAATCTTTCGTCAAAGATTGCTTCAGAAGAAATAATTTTTCTGTGAAATTTCAATGAAGGAAAGAAGTAGCTCAGTGAGTACGCAAGCATATAGGAGGTGTAACTCTCTGAACCTTCCATTGCAAGTACTATTCTGCGCAAAATATTGCTTTTTCTTTACAATTGGGAGGTGAGATTAAGAATTATTTTATACACCATTAAATCATTCCTCCTATCTTTACATTTCTTCTAGTTATCCTTTCATCTTCTTTTCTTTTCTTTTTGAGATAGAGTTTCACTTTTGTCTCCCAGGCTAGAGTGCCATGGCGCAATCTCGCTCACTGCAACCTCCACCTCCCAGGTTCAAGCGATTCTCCTGCCTCAGCCTCCTGAGTAGCTGGGATTACAGGTGCCTGCCACCACATCCAGCTAATTTTTGTATTTTTAGTAGAGTTGGGGTTTTGCCATGTTGGCCAGGCTGGTCTCGAACTGCTGACCTCAGGTCATCCACCTGCCTCAGCCTCCCAAAGTGTTGGGATTACAGATGTGAGCCACCGCACCCAGCCTACCCTTTCATCTTCTAAATCTCTATATTTTGAAGTTCTCCATTACTTTTTGTTTCTGACTTCTGCTTCCAGTGTTTTATAATTCTTTCACTGCTTTTCTTTTGGTTCAATCTGATGCCTTTCTTATTTCACTCTCTTTACTACAACATTGTCTATGTGCACTTTTGTACTTATTTCCACTGCCTTTTTGCTCCCAGTTTTAGTGTCTAATCTTTATCTCGTGTGTGTGTGTGTGTGTGTGTGTTGCCACTAGTGGTCATTCTTTTTACCTCTGAGGATTGTTTCTTTCTTTCAAAAAAAAAAAAAGTTAGAATGTAAACATTTTATCTGCTCATTTGTGGTATCTTTGTTTATTTTTTGAGTTTTCCAGTTTGGAACTCTCTCTCTCTGCCACAAATTCTGCCCTTGAGAAACTTTTTAACAACATGCCATAATGTGTGGCCCAATCTAATTAAGAGGACAGGAAAAAACCCAGATGATAAAAACACTGGGCTGAGATTATCACTGCTAATATTTTGGTTTGTTAGAGAACTCTTTCTTTTTGTTTGGGGGGTGGAGGGCTGTCTACTGCAAACATACCTCTTTATGCCTTGATGACATGTGCATTGGAGGAGTTTCTGGAACAGACTTAATAGCTTTCAGTGATCTCTGAAGGAAATTAGTCAGTGTTGCCAAAGATATCAGAGAACTAAGCAGAAGAGTAGAAATATAAAGAGTGAGCTAAGGGATTAAGAAACAAAGAAAGAAGTGGAATGTTCAGTTGGTTAAGGAAAATCTGAGTATGGATAAGAAAGCCTATGTCTGCGAATATCCTAGAATCTGTGTTTTATCACTTCACCTCTCACTATGATGAATTACTAGTTACTGTAGAGAAGCCACGTTACACCATCCCCATGGATCAAATTTCCTTTTTAAAAATCTGACCTCAGGTTCCCAACACCTAGTCTCCTAAGGAAGAATAGCAGGAACTTTAATTTGTACTTAGGAATTAACAATTTGAATTTTTCTATTTGGGACTCTGCAGATGCACCTTTTAAAAAACACAGAAATTAGGCAGTTTCTAATAGTTTTTTAAATAGATAGGCCACTGGCTTGGGATGGAATTGTTCCTATTTGTATTATTTATTTGGAAGAGAATTTTCTTGAACAAACTAGATTGCAAACTGGCATATAGTGTAAATTTATTGAGGGTTAGAGGTGTGTCTGTTACAACCACCTATCCCCAGAGAACCTACTGCAAAGCTCTGTACATTGTTAGCATGTAACAAATATTCATTGAAACAATACACAAAGGAATAAATACCAAATTTCAGTGAAGTTGGAAGGGACCCCGAGTGTTCAGCATGTGCTTCTCCATCCAGAATGAAGTAAATGGACATGTGTGCAGGAAAGCTTCTTTCTTCCCGGATTCACTTTTAATATAGGAACAGCAGGGTCAGTTCCTTGTTCTTGAGGATTCCTGGGGATTGGAACTTACAAGCCAAGTTCCCAGCTTACAGAGTGCTTGGAAACATTTTGACAGGGACAAACTGTGTAAGGACAAAAGTGTATCACTTATCAATCACCTTCAGCAACCAAACCGGGCATTCTGAACAGCCCTTGTTAAGTAACCATACAGGCAAGGCAGCACAGGAGAGTCAAACGAAATCAAATATGAAGAGACTGAAATAATGCTTTCTGAGAATTGATATTCCCAAGTTGGCATACAGATTTTGGCAGACACAAAGCCATTCCCTTTCCCGTAAACTCAGGGAATATTAAACCAAAAGTCTTTCTTATTTTAGTTGATTGGCTAAAGTGGGGATTTCTGAAAGTTAAAGGAGACAAAATGAAAAGACTTCACAAGTATTGTTAGAGAATTTACAGCAGGAACCAGTAGTTTTTCCTTCTGACTTTACAGCCTGTGACTGATGACTAATCAGTGAGTAAGCAAGTATAGAGTAAGTGTAAGGAAATGATAATTAATTCTTATCAATTCTGATAATCCTATCAGTTTAATAGTAAGTAAGTGTGCTGTGTGTTGGCAAGACTCTAATTCAAAGTAGTATTTCCAGAATATGGACCTTGGGATTACTTTTAGCACATTCACCACCTGTAAGCAAGACTTTGGCCCTCTTCATGGCACAGATATTTACTGGGCAATACCTTCCAGCACACGCTATACACTGGAGATAAAGAAATCAAGGAAGTAGCGACTGCCTTGTGGAAGGGGGGTTTCTTCGTGTCAAAGAACTTAAGGGAAGCTCAGAAATTCTATCCTCAATGGATTTTTTTCCCCTAAAAGCATAACATATACAGCAGTTCCCCCCTTATTTGTGGTTTGGTAACTTGCCATCATTGAGGACAAAAAATATCAAATGGAGAATTCCAGAAATAAACAATCTATATACACTTTAAATTGCTCACCGGTTTGCGGTGATGAAATCTCTCACCATTCCACTCAGCCCTGCATGGGACATGAATCATCCGTTTCCTTAGGGTATCCACATCCTTGCTGTATATGCTACCTGCCTGTGAGTCACTTAGTAGCCGTGTTGGTGATCAGAGGGACTGTCATGGTATGGCAGTGCTTGTGTTCAAGCAACTCTTATTTTTCTTAATAATGACCTCAAAGCACAAGAGTAGAGATGCTGGCATATTGTTATAATTGTTCTACTTTATGATCCATTACTATTGATTTCTTACTGTGCCTAATTTATCAATTAAACTTTATAATAGGTATTAATGCATTGAAAAACATGGTATATATAGCATTGAGTACTATTAATATCTGCAGTTTCAGGTATCCACTGGGGGTCTTGGAACTTGAAAAACATGGTATATATAGCATTGAGTACTATTAATATCTGCAGTTTCAGGTATCCACTGGGGGTCTTGGAACCTATTCCCCACAGATAACAGGGGATTACTGTATATTGGTTGATTTAAATGGATTTCCTTCATTCACTCTGCCACCTGATTCCACCACAGCCTTTTTGACTAGACCCCATGATTCAGACATGATGATGTCATGGTCTCTAACATGACAGTATTTAAAGACTTCTAAATGAGTCTATATGTTGGCAACTGCAATTTCATGTGCATTTTTTCTTGATAAAGTTTGATTAGTTAATGAAGTATAGCAATATCTAATAGCTATACAATATTTATAATACCTCCTAATTCAGCCTTATATAAAAATTAAATTAAATCTTTAACATAGCATGTTGTGGTTACTTTGAAATATTATGTGCTGAGGTAGGGCGCTGATTTGTTTACTAAGCACTGACAAATATATTACGTTTGTTTACTCTCAATATCACTTTATTGCTGCCTCACTTCCTTCTATTTCAGCTATGTTTTAAAATAACTGTTCTGTACTTTAGAAATAACACATGCTGCTGAAAACTTGGAAAACAAAGAAAATCTCAAAAGAAACAGGAAAATAAGTTACCCCAAATCCTGTCGCACGTGGGTGGCTTCTATTATGTTTGGCAAAGCCTTATAATGTTTTTTTCATGTATCTTACGTTGCTTGACAGAAATCGTATCACATTATATTTACAGCTTTGTGCCTGTTTTTCTCTTAACAACATACTGGGGACTGTTTTCCCACGTCAGCAAAGATTCTGTTAAATGGCTGAATAGCATCAAAGAGTATTATTCTTAAACTGCTGCATGCTGCCTTGCCATGGGTCAGCAGAAATACAGCCCCAGAAGCTGTGGTTTTATCCAGACCAAGAAGCCATTCTTTGCATTCTCGGTGGAGCATCCTCCCCTTAGGAATGTGGAGCTGATGATGCCAAGTGTGTCCTTGACCTTCTGGGCAGGATGGAGAGCTCTTCTATTTTCTCAGGCTTCTTCCTGATAAGGGTGATCAAACAGCAAAATTCAAGATTTATTACTTGGGAACCTAATTTATTTGCAGTTGTTTAGAGCTTTCATTGGTGTCCTGATCCTTTTATTCATTTGCTGCCTTATTTTAGAAACTCACCAACTGAAACCAATATCAATCAATAAAACCCCAATTTGCACCCTATTTACAATTCTGAATCAGTTTCTTTTCTGTTTACTGTTTTTCTTCTTATATGATTTTTCCTATAGTGGTCAATATCAATATTTCATATTTGGCTACCACTTTATTTCGGCAAAATGCACCTAAAACATGTTTGTTAGTTGTTTAAAAATGTAAATCCAATGGAAAATTTACCTCACAATTTGACTGTGATGTGTACATGAATGGATGTATTTACCTATATTTATATTGTTATATGTGTAATTTTTTATAATGCAAGCTTCAATTTTTAAAAACATTTTTCTCTTGAATGTGTAAGTTATATAATTCATGAAGTTATTAAATCTTGTGACTTGGCATCTTAATGCATTTTTTTTTCTTTTTGCCCAGGCTAGAGTACAGTAGCATGATTTTGGGCTCACTGTAACCTCTGCCTCCTGGGTTCAAGCAGTTCTTCTGCCTCAGCCTCCCGAGTAGCTGGGATTACAGGTGCCCACTACCATGTCTGGCTAATTTTTGTATTTTTAATAGAGATGGAGGTTTCACCACGTTGCCCAGGCTGGTCTTGAACTCCTGACCTCAGGTAATCCACCCACCTTGGCCTCTCAAAGTGCTGGGATTACAGGTGTGAGCCACCATGCCCATCAATGCATTTTAGAGACAAGGTTTTGGAAGTCCTAGAAAAGCTTATGATAATCAAAACAATAAATTATTTCTAAACCATGACATAAAATAATAGTAATAATGAACAGTTATTACATTCATGCCAGGTGTGCTCCACTTAAGCACTTTTCACATTTTTTTCGATAAACTTCCTAAAACAACTCAAAAACAGTTCCTATTATGAGCTCCATTACTGTAGATGAGGGAAACACAGTGAGAATTTCTTAAAAGCCAAATTTTTCCCTACCTTTTTCCTCTAAGAAGGTCAATATGAATCTCGGTGCTAATTGCTTCCTCCTTAAAGTTAATAATGACACTATTAATAGCAACATGAGTCATCATTCATTGGGTGCATATCAAGAGAAGCAGGTACTTTATAAATATTATTCCTAATCCTCATGTGGTAGATTGTATTTGTAACTACGATAATCTCTCCTTTCCATGTGCTCCTCTGCAATGTGACCTAGCCATTCTCACATCAAGAAGAGATTTTCTTCAACCCCTCCAATCTCTACTCCCTCAATTTCTCCACCCCTCCAATATAGGTGGGCCCTATGGCTGCTTTGACCAAGAAAATACAGCAGAAGTGACATTATGCCAGTTTCAGGACCCAAGTCTTAAGATTTTACCTGCTTCCACTTCCCGTCTCACAGAATATTTGCTATGGGGACCTAGCTACTGTATAAGAAATGTGACTACTCTGGGACCACCATGCTGTGAGAAACCCAAGCTACATGGAAAGACCCAAGAGTCAGGGTCAGCCAACTATACCCTGTGGGCCAAATCTGACTCATCAGTCTGTTTTGCATGATTTGCTAGCTAAGAATGGCAGGGCAGGGCAGCCAAAAGAATAACAACAGTCTTGATGTTTAACGAGTATATATGAAACTTAAATAAAATTTTATTGAAATTGTCTCACATTTGTTTACTTACTGTCTGTGGCTGCTTTCATGCTACAGTGGCAGAGTTGAATAGCTGTGACAGACATCATATGACCCTTGAAGCCTAAAATATTCACTATCTGGACCTTTACAGGAAAAGTCTGCCAACTCCCACCCCTAGAGGATAAGAGGGAGAGGCCAGGAAGCAGCAAGGAGCTAATACATATAAGTATATAATATACCATACATCTCACACCCTCCACTTTCAACCAACTCAACGATGCCAAGTGGAACAGATACAAAATATCCAACTGAGCCTTTCCCAAATTCATTATCAACAATAGCAAAAGCAAAATAAATGGCTGTTTTAAAGTGTTAAGTTTTGAGTAGCTTGTTACGTAGTAAGAGATAAACGAAACACCTTACAACCACCCTACAAAGGAAGATATTGTCATCCAAATATTTAGATGAGGAAATAGAAGCTCAGAAAGATTAAATAACTCACTTAAGTTCACACAGCTGACAAATAAGGAGCTCGGATTTCAACCCAGGTTTTTTTAGTTCCTAAGCTTTACTTGTAATACGGTAGCCTCATAATATTCAGGCTTTTCTCTACTGCAATACATTTTACGCCCATGTCAGTCTTCATTAACTCAATAAATGTGTACTGACAATTGTCACCACAGGTAAGCACTGCACTAAGCTTTGTGGGGAAATAAGAGATGTAATTCAGATGAAATTTGAAAATTTTACTTAATTTTCGGCTTAGCTAAGAAGACCAACAGTTATTATAATGTGATGGTGGATGAAATATTATAAATTCAACTTTGACACATTTACTCTGACGGTGGTGGCCTACAGAATTCTATTGTAGGTAATAAAAATTTCAGAAAAGCTATTCATTTGATCTTTATGTCACAGTTCTAGGACTTTTTTTTTAAGGAGCAAGTCAGCAGTAGGTGACGAGATGACTTGAAAGCTCATTCTACCTACTCACAAAGTTAGTTACATGTCAGTGTTTTACTTTTTTTTTTTTCATTTCAGATTAACTGCCCTCTTCCATGTTCAAACCATATGTAACTGTAACTGAATGGAAGTTAAACATCTGGAAACCATTAGGATTGAATAGCAATGAAAGGCAGGAAGCACAAGACTATGGAAAATGATTTCGAGCGACCAGGGTAAGGAATGTAAAGAAAACTGTTGAAGGATATTCTAGGTTGCCTGCTAGTCTTTTTCTGAGGTCACTACTGGAGATGGGTCACTCTGAAGTGAAGTCTGTCAACTATGAACACAGCTAGATGAAATACACTATGGCGAAAAATGGAGGCAACTATGGGTTTAAAAGACATTTCCTTGTTTATCAAGGGCCCTACTTAAGTGTTGGCTGCTTGCGAGCTGGAATATGTCATCTTTATAATATTTGATAGTCAGTGGTTTGTTGGGACTAGCATATACCAGCTTATAATAATTGATTAAATTTTTAGGATTTTTTTGTGAGCTAATTGTTGAAATCTGCCATGGTAGGAGCATTTACACCATGGAAACTGGCAAATACAGTAAGTTAGGGCTCTTTTTTAAGAGAGCCAGTTTACCAAAACACCACTGAGACAGAGTCAATTAAAAATGATTAGCCAGTAGTCCAAAATTCTTTAGAGTATATGATAAAGGACAAGGCATTCATTATATTTATGCTCTTCAATAAATTTTAGTGACATGAGAAACAAATCTGGAAGCAAAATTATAGCTCCAGTTTAGTCCCCCAAAATGCTAAAACATGTAGCTATATGTATATAGAAACATTATAAGAAAGAAAATACGTCAATGTCTTCACAGTGGTTATCTTTGGGGTGTGGATTTACAGGTAACTATTGATTCATGCACTGTATCTTTCAAGTATTCTATAAGTATTGCTTTTTTAATTAAAAGACACATTAAAAATAATGTGCCTAAGTATTAACCTGTTTAAATTTTGTGTACAAGAATGACAGCAGGAGGAGTAAGGAAGAAAGGTGGGAAGAGGAGGGCTTCCTCTTCCTCACTCATTCAGTTCTGTGAGAAAGGGATTGAAGAGAAACTATGATGATTTAATTGGAGCTAGGAGTTCTGCTAGGGTCACAGAGGGAATGAGTAGAGAGAAGCAAAAGACAAATGAGTAGGGAGAGGCAGGAAAAGTAGCAGAGGGAATGCTAAAATAGGGATCAGAAATTGTATCCCTAGCAGCTTTAAGAAGCCATGTCAGAGTCATTTCACTTTTTGGGCATCAATTTTTTCCTCTCCAAACTATGCAGACCACACTAGGAAAAAAAAAAACACACACACACATTTCATTTTAATCAAGATGTTCTAAGTGAACTTCCTCTTGAGGGCAGCCAGCTCTCAGGGTGGGTGTATGGCAGCATGCGACTCACCTGGCAAAGGGAAGTGGTGCCGGTAGACTTGCATAGAGGAATGTTTGCTGGAGAGGAAGGAAGGGAATTGTGCAAGATGGGGGTAGAGGGGTGTCGTTTAGTGAAGGCGCTGGAAGAAAACTGTCCTAATTATAAAAACTCAGTGGTAAAATCAAAGGGATGTTTGGGGACAAAAACAGGATTCCAGTTTTGTTTTATATGTAGATAAGGAATTGCTTCACACAGTCACATTTCTAACTTCTACCAAGGAATTTCTGAATATGATCTGTATGACAAGTATGACAAGATCCCTGACTGTGTGTTATAATGAGAAAATCACGAATCTTCATTAGATTACTCTGAAACTAAATAAATTTTGTTTAGTAATGTTTTAGACACATCGCTTAAGGTCCAGATTATTTTCTAGGATCACATTCTAAAATAGATCTTAAAAATATAGTAGAATTTTTTTTTTGAGACAGGGTTTCATTTTGTCACCCAGGCTGGAGTGCAGTGGTGCAATCCCTGCTCACTGCAGCCTCAACCTCCTGCCTCAAGTGATCTTCCTGCCTCAGCACTCCAAGTAGCTGGGACTACAGGCATGCATCACCAAGGCCAGCTCATTTTTGTATTTTTCACAGAGACGTGGTCTCACCATTTTACTCAGGCTGGTCTCAAACTCCTGACCTCAAGCTCTCTACCTGCCTTGGCTTTCCAAGGTGCTTAGAATTACAGGTGTGAGCCATAGCACCCAGCCTAGTAGAATTTTTATTAATTGTTAACTCTAACACTAATGTAGTTAGAAAGAAGTGGAAACTAATGGCTCAGTATGTTACTTTATCTGTGGGTTCCAATTATCTATACAAAATTGTTGCTTATTTCTACAATGGTTTCATGTCTATTATGGTTACTCTC